AGGCAGCATAGCGCAATGTTGTGAGTGCAGTTAGAAGTGAGTTATTCATATCCAGCCATAATCCCTATATAGAAACCCACCCCGTTCTCTTTGTTAGATGATAGTAATTGAAATATAGTACAGTAAGGACACACAGTGCTGTTAATAATGTAGCAGGGGAAAGCAAGGGCCTATCCAAGCGGCCATTCTTTTCTATTCTTAGCTAGAAAGCACTGGGGAGACCTACAAGGACAATGTTTTCTAGAATTTGGCCTGGACTCGCCTCCTTGAGGAGCCCTAGGGGCATGAGGGGATAGTGTAGGGATGTGTGGAGTGTCGACTGTTAGAGTATTTAACAAAAGTGGATGTGATGTCATTGTATCTTGAAACTCAATTTGGTATACTCAGGTTTTATTTGTATGACTTTTTTAAAAAAGCTACATCTTGGGTATTTTGAATATGTATACATTTTAAAACAGCCCTGCCTACATTTGTAAAACATTTCACAGCTTATTTAACATTTTACATAAAAGTCATAGGCTAACTGAACGGGGTATTATTAGTTCAGGGCAAATGGAAGGGCAAAGACTTGGAGTCCAGAGATGTGGGTTTCCATGCAGCTGTTTCCTGGCTCTGTGATGTGGAGCAAATCACTTAACTGTGATTAATCTATTTCCTCATCTATGCCGTGGAAGTAAGAATATTTTGTAGGGTCATTGTAAAAATCAGGTAAAAGAATTCATTATGAAAACACACACTGTGTTTTTAAAGTTTATAAAAATAAGCACTGAAAATACTCTATGCACTGTAAAATATAATTTTAAAAAGTATTTTAATATGGATCACCTTACTTTGGCAGGGCATGCATTATCCCTACTTTCATGAGGACTCAGGGAGGCTGTAACTCCTGAAAGGTCATATCACTAGCCATAGTGCTAAGATTTGAACCTAATTGGTCTCATTCCAAAAATGATGTGTCTGGGTACCAACACATACTATGTGCGGTTTCCCCAGAGGAAGCAAAGAATCAGCTGCTCTTTCTTCCTGGTACTAGTATAGCTATTTGTGATCACTTTGAGAATCAATTTATCAGTATAAAAAATGTGTTGAATTTCATTGGTGGTATCAAATAATATTTTTAAATTAAAAAACTCCCTTGTTTTATAGCTTAAAATGAGTATCTAGTGTTAATACTTACAACCATGAATTGTTATCATGAATTACTACAGAATCAATTATATACAGGGTGGGGAAAAAGTAGATTTACAGTTCTGACTATGTGAAACAATTTATTCTTGTATTATTTTTTTAAATATATTTTATTGATTTTTAGAAAATATATATTTTATTGATTTTTTACAGAGAAGAAGGGAGAGAAATAGAGAGTTAGAAACATCGATGAGAGAGAAACATTGATCAGCTGCCTCCTGCACACCCCCTACTGGGGATGTGCCTGCAACCAAGGTACATGCCCTTGACCGGAATCGAAACTGGGACCTTTCAGTCCGCAGGCCGATGCTCTATCCACTGAGCCAAACCGGTTAGGGCTATATTTTATTGATTTTTTACAGAGAGGAAGGGAGAGGGATAGAGAGTCAGAAACATTGATAAGAGAGAAACATCGATCAGCTGCCTCCTGCACACTCCCCACTGGGTATGTGCCCGCAACCAAGGTACATGCCCTTGACCGGAATCGAACCTGGGACCCTTGAGTCTGCAGGCCGATGCTCTATCCACTGAGCCAAACCTTAGGGCTTATTCTTGTATTATTATATATTAATTATTGTATTATTTTCCATACAAACAACTGTAAACCTACTTTTGTCCCACGTTGTACTTCAATTAATAATGAAGTAAACTGAATAGTTATTTCTCTTTAAATAAGACAGTAAGTAATACATCCCTCGTGTGATTTTTCTTTCCTATTATAAAATGTTACAATGAAATAGTGGCAGTGTAAGGAAAATGGTTAGGTCAGGGGTTCTGACTTTTTAAACAGGGGGCCAGTTCACTGTCCCTCAGACCATTGGAGGGCTGGATTATAGTTTAAAAAAAAACTATGAACAAATTCCTATGCACACAGCGGCGGCAAAAACACCCTTCGGGCCGGATAAATGTTTTCGGCGGGCCGCATGTGGCCCTCGGGCCGTAGTTTGAGGACCCCTGGGTTAGGTATTGCAAGTGGCAAAGAGTGAGGATGGTTTGAATATATACCTTTTGTAAGGCTTTGGGATTTGGGCTTTAAATTATTAAGAGGATGGCTTTGGAGCCAGGTGGTATTTATGAGCTGAATGAGCATGGGTAATTTGCTGTGAGTCTCTGTTTCCTCATCTATAAAATAGAGATAATAATTGTTCTTATCTCAAAGAGCTATTGTGAGTATCCTGTTAATTTTCAAAAATCATTTCATGCCTAGCACCCATGAGAACGCTCTGTTAGTATTGTTATAAATTTCATGATCTCCACCTTTAAAATCACTTTCTCCTTTTGTTGATAATTTATGTAACTACTAGAGGCCTGGTGCACAAAATTTTGTACACTGGAAGGGGGTCCCTCAGTCTGGCCTGTGCCCTCTCACAGTCCAGGAGCCCTTGGGGGATGTCCAACTGACGGCTTAGGGGAGCAGGGCTAAGCCGTCAGTCGGACATCCTTAGCGCTGCAGCGAAGGTGGGAGAGGCTCCCGCCACTGCCACTGCGCTCGCCAGACGTGAGCCCGGCTTCTGGCTGACAGCGCTCCCCCTGTGGGAGCACACTGACCACTAGGGAGCAGCTCCTGCGTTGAGCATCTGCCCCCTGGTGGTCAGTGCACATCATAGTGACTGGTTATTCTGCTGTTCGGTCAATTTGCATATTAGCCTTTTATTATATAGGATTTTTCTAATTCAGTCCAGCCATTTGTTACCTTTATCCTTAAGTTTTAAAGTATGTTTTCTGTTTTAATATCTGTAATAAATGGTTTCAAATGGTAGTGCCAAAGAAGAGTTGTTAAATCCTAATTGAAAGAGGATTGGAAGTTCTGATTCATGCAATCTGACAATAGAGATTAAGTTAACTGGACAGTCTTACAGAAGCTTGATGGTGGCAAGTCAGCAAATGGATTAGCTTGACCAGCTGCTCTTTTGTCCGTGAAAATAACTTGGACTTCAGTGTTGTGTTAGCAACAGATGCTCTGTTTGAGTAGAGGAAGAAAGCATAATTGCCTTGGGTATGTAAGGCATACTGTTGGATACGGAAAACCACAGTATTATCTCCTAGAAATAAACAGAGGGATTTTGTTTATATTGAGTTTCTGGGACACTTTTGTGAACAGGATGTGTTATGGATAGGTGGCTTTGTTTGATACTCAAACCTTTGATTATGTCCGTAAGTGGTTTTAAGATAAAATCCCAAAGGTTTCTTTACCTGATGAAATGTGTATATTCAAAGAAACCATTGATACAAATAAGACGTGCACCTTTTAAGAATGGCGACAGGTAGAATCTGATAGTTTACGTTAAATTTTGTACAGGAGTTCATTCACATTCGTAGAGGTTGCTATTTCTGGGAAACGGTAGATGCTGTAGGAATAATAAAGGTAGAGAGGAAGGGGGAGGGATACCTGAGGAAGGATGTCACCAAAAGCAGACATTGTCAATTGTTTGCTTTTCTCCACTTTTTCTTGTGCATTATTTACTTTCTACTACTTGGAAAGGGTTAGTGACAGTCAGGTGAGGCTTGATTGTATAAGACTGGACAGTTCTTTTTCTTTTTTGAGGGAGGGTCTTGCTTTTTAAAGTAGACCTGTGAACAGGAATAAGTGAGTTTTTATACACCCCAGCTAATCACAACTGAAAGCATTCCCGTGGAATGGATCAAAGTAATCTGGGATGATATAGGAGGCATGAGGTACCCTCCTCACAGGACCATACTGACATACTCATGATCACTACATTTAAATACAGATGTTTTCATTTCTTATTGAACTTGACAGTTTAAGAAATTAGAAATATAGTGAAGCAGACCTTTAAAATTTTTTTAACATAATGCTTCTTTGCAATGCCTAGCTGAATATACAAAGAATATTCATGCAGCAAAAACATTGAATGTTTCCCTTAGTGTTCAACCTAGGGCAGTGATGGCGAACCTTTTGAGCTCGGCGTGTCAGCATTTTGAAAAACCCTAACTTAACTCTGGTGCCGTGTCACA